GCCCCAAGGAATTTTTTTAAAAATTTTTTATTTATTTATATGTGTGTGTATGGCCAGCTCAGCCCACCAGGGGGCGGGGCTGGCTGGCACGTGGTGCTGGGGGATTGAACCGTGGTCCCTGTGCTTTGCTAAGCTTGTTCTAAGTAGGTGCTTTAGACCACTGAGCCATCTCACCAGCCCCAAGGAATTTTTAACCTTAAAGGAATTTATAAAGTAGAGAGACAAGATATGTGTATATGGCTCAAGAGGTGCACATATGTACATAAGTACACACGGTAGTGGTTAGAGGACAGCTCCATTTCATCAAGAACCAACTGTGACAGCTGTGCTGTCTTACATGTGAATTAGTATAATGCCAGGAGTAAAGGAATGTTGCATCCTGTGTGTACAGTCAGCTTCTGTAAAGCTGTATATAAACACGGAACAGTAGGAGACACATCAGAATGTGAGCTGTGATAGAAAAATATGAGAAATACTTAGATGAAAAAATTACTGTGCTGAGAGACACACTGGCATTGATCCCCTTCAGAATGCTCCCCATGCTTTTAACACACTCACCCCATTAATCTTGTTACTTTCTGAAGCAGTTCCGAAATCCTCGCTCATAAGTGACATTAGTTACATTGTTGTGACTACCTTGATATCCAGAATCGATGCAAAACATTTGTCTGTAATGGTCAGTTTGACTGTGGGGAAGAGGCAGAAGCTGCAACGTGCCGGGGTCAGTGAGGAAAGTGGATGAGGATACAGAGCAACGCTGTTAGGAGACTGGTTTTCCATTGAGTTACACTTGGCAGGCGCACTTCCTGCATTTTTAAATCACACCCATAAAGACAGTAACAATAAAAGACTCTCAGAACTACTTCACGAAGTGGTAACAATAAGACAGATGTGTTTAGCCAGGTGTGGTGGTGCACCCCTGTAATCCCAGCGTTCAAGAGGCCATGGTAGGAAGACTGTGAATTCTAAGCCAGCCTGGGCTGCAAAATGAGTTCAAGGGTAATCTGACCTGCAGAGGGAAGCCATGTCTCAGAAAGACTCCCCAAAAGGAAAGACATATTTGAATTGAGGGGGCATATTTAAAGAGGATTAATGGCAGTGTGTCTTGTACTGTAACAATTAAAAAAAATTATTCACTGTTTTGATAGTTGCATTGCATGTATGATATACTGAACAACTTGTCTTTGCCCCTCTCCCTACTCCACTCCTGATCTTCAGGTCTGCTTCTCCAGAGCATGGATTCACCATTATGAATAGGCTGAGCATGGAAAATAGGACAGAACCCATTACTAAAGACCTGGATTTTCAACTCCAGGACCCTTTCCTTCTCTACAGAAATGCCAGATGTGAGTCTCTTAATACATTGGGTAGCTTTATTTCTGAAGTTGGCCAGGTGTTTAAAATTGTGAAGTGTGTAGCTTTATGTTTGTGTTGAGTATCAGTGACTGCTGTCGACATCAGCTTGAGCAATTCTCGCCTTAATGGGGGACTTTCTTAGAAAGTTCAAGTGCGAGGTTGCTAAGTGCTGTTTTGAGCAGCTGCACTGCTTTGTAGTGTAATTCTGTCATTGACCTTCATTCAGCCCGAGCACTGGGGTCGTGCAAACTTGGTGAGGAGACCAGAGAGGTACACTGGACACAGAATTAATGATTCAGCTGGTGGCACTTGTTTGTATATCACTTGACCTAGCACAGTGCCAGAATCTTCCCGGGAGAGGACCTGCACAGTAAATGAAAACTCAGAAGTTGAAAGAATTTGGTCTTAACAATTTAATGGCTTTTCATAATGTTGAGGTTATAGTAGGTGATAAAATGGTCCTTTTCACATTGGAAATGAGAGAGCAGTCACCTACCAAACAGTCTCTTCACATTTTAGGCACCTGTCTTATCTGAGCACTTGTGTTGGGCCAGAGAAAGATTGATGACATTCATCAATTTCAGGGGCCTCTCTGTACCTAGAAAACAGAAACGTACTACTCAGTGCATAAATATGTGTGTGTACACACACGTGAGCACGTGCTTATGCCTTATAGGTGACTTTCAAAAAGACCTTGAAGTTAAAGAAATTTTTCTGTGTATATATTTTCCATTGTACTCCTGGCATTTAAGAAACAAAAATTTGCCTATTGTGTAATTTCAATAATAAATGTAATATAAGTAATACTTGACAGCAATACCAGTGAATCCTTTCAAAGTGAATGTAGTGTCCCTTTTTTCTTGTCATTTTTTGGTGGCATTGGGGATTGAACGCAAGGCCTTCTCACAGAGTGACACACCCAACCCTTTTTTTATTTTATTTTATTATTTTTTTTTTTGGCGGAACCGGGGATTGAACTCGGGCCCTTGCACTTGCCAGGGAAGTGCTTATTCCACTAAGTCATGTCCCCAGCCCCCCAACCCTTTTTTTAAAAAGGGTCTCATTACATGGCTTAGTAACCTAGGCTAAGCTTGTGCTTTGATCTTTCTGCCTCAGCCTTTCAGGGTGCTGAGATTACAAGCATTTGCTACATGTTCAGCTTTATAGCGTTTTAATGTAGTAATATATTTACTTACATTTACATATAATTAAGTTGCTATGATAGGTGGTAATCCAAATACCTGGAATTAATTTTTTGTGAGATTAAATTTTTAGTTAAGTTTATATGAGAAAAAAATCTTATCACAATTAACATGACTTAACAATGGTAGGTCCTGTGAAATGAAAAGTTTTGCAATACAGAATCATTGCAAAATATTGCTTCCTGTTGTTTCTTTGCTGGCAGATGTACCTTATCAGTTGTAATGTTTAGTTTTAATTGTTTGTGTGCTTATAATTAGTCAGGTTTTATTTTTGAGATTATTAGAGTGCCTTAAAATAAAATATAATTCAAGTCCTAACTCATAAAATAACCACAAAAATATAGAAATGACCATTACTAACCTATCATAATTAGTTTTTGTTACTATTTTTATGACAGGATCTCACTATGTAGTTCAGACTGGCCTTGAACTCACTTTGTAGCCCAAGCTGGCCTCGAACTCACAGTGATCTTCCTGCTTCAGCCTCCCGAGTGCTGGATTACAAACATGTGCCACCGTGCCCAGCTTCATAATCATTTTTTATTGAGGATAAATACTTGGTCTAGTTAGTCTAGATAATATTTTATTTTATATTTTTATCATCTATTATATGATAAATATATAGAATCTTTCTAATGTATTGACTTTGTAAACAACTGTCCTAAATCCCACAATTATCTGATAGGAAACGCTATTTGGATCTAATGACCACATTAGACCTCCCGTCAGTCCTAGGCGTGTGCTCTCCTGTGTGGCAGGTAGTAAGTATGTGTGGCCGTGCAGCTGTTGAAATGTGGCTAATCTGCGTTGCTGTGTGCTGTGCATGTGAAACACGCATCCTTTTCCAGATACTTAACACAAGACTGTAAAAAAAAAACTCATTAATTTTATATTGATTGACATGTTGAAATATTATTTTTGATATCTTGGGTTAAATAAAATATATTAAACTTGCTTTCACTTGCTTCTTTGTATTTTTTTTAATTTAAAATTACATATGTGGCTCACATTTATGCTTTATCCTATATTTCCGTCAACTAGCACTGTTCTATTTTCGTTTGTCCATTTTCACATACTTTCATTTCTTTTTCTGATTTAAGTCCCAACTTTGTAGGAAAGACGTTTTCTCTGCTTTCTGCAGGTGAGAGGACTGAGGCTCAGTGAGGTGACAGACTTTGTACCAGTGCACAGATTCTGACCCCTTGCTCTTGCTTCTCCTCTCCTAGACCCGCAGCTACTAAACATGAAGGCAGGTTGAGAGCAGCTTGTGCGGCGCTTATTTGTTTCTAATGATTTCCATTTAAAAGAAATAAAATGAGCTGAACAAGAGAGAATGAAAGACAGTGGGTCTATTTTTCTATCCTGGGTTCATTTTTTTTTTCTTTCAGATACTGATTATTTTTTTGTGGTTGTAGTTATTGGTCTTCATTTTTATTTACTTTAAAGATGTATTTAGTTTCTACTTGTTAGGGTCTCAGATACCTCTTAAATGTTTTCCATAATTCAAATATTTTGTATTTGGTTTTCATATTCTGTGATGGTGTACAGATTAGTTCATCATGCAGTTCCACCTAGGGCTGGTTTTTCACTAAGCTTGTCCCATCCAGAGCTGTGTAGTCAAGAACCTTTCTGCAGGGTCTTAGTATTTCATTTCACTGTGTACATTCTAGGCTATATTTGAGCAGTTCAGATAGACAGAAGTGTAGTTATGTGGTTCATGTGAGTTTTCTTACAGCTTTTGAGACTTCCGATGTTTAAAAAAAAAAATCAGTGTTCTAGAGCTATAACTGTCCTTCTCTTGAATTGGTTCAACTTAAATGAGCAAAGTAAAGGCATGAAAGTCCCAGACTCTGCATTTAATTAACCAAGAGGAAAAAAGATCTTTGATAAGTAACTTTGAATTTGGATCGAACTTAAAATAGATTATAGAATAGGGCTTATAATCTTTAAACTTAATTGTAATGAGATTTGACCTAAATAGGTTTTAAAAGTAAGATAGCTATTAAAATTAGGGTGAAATTTCTTTCATTAAATAAGCATTTAGTGTCTGTCAGATACTATATTAGGACTTTATATGGGTTATCTCATTTAATTCTCATAACTTCTTGGAAATGCTGTTGTTCCTTTTTATATAGAAGTGAGGATACTGAGGCTAGAGAGTTTAAATAATATTCCGTGGTCCATAGCTATTTTTATTTTTTTTACCTTTATTTATTATTATTATTGTGTGTATGTGTGTATGTGGCCAGCTCAGCCCACCAGGGGGCGGGGCCGGCTGGCAAGTGGTGCTGGGGGATCCAACCGTGGTCCCTGTGCTTTGCCAAGCTTGTTCCAAGTAGGTGCTTTAGACCACTGAGCCATCTCACCAGCCCCATGGCTATTTTTAAAAGGAAAACATTTGAAGGAGGAAAGACCAACTCAGGACCTCAGGCCCACGCAATAAAAGTGCTAGCAATGAATAACGCCTTTGAGCAAGTTTATTTTATTTTATTTTTTTAAATTTTATTTATCTATTTGTGTGTGTGTGTGTGTGTGTGTGTGGCCAGCTCAGCCCACCAGGGGGGCGGGGCTGGCTGGCATGTGGTGCTGGGGGATTGAACCATGGTCCCTGTGCTTTGCTAAGCTTGTTCTAAGTAGGTGCTTTAGACCACTGAGCCATCTCACCAGCCCCTGAGCAAGTTTATTTGTAAGAAATACTTAATATTTTAGTGTACACTCCAGAGTTTATGAAGAATTTTTTTTAAATTTGAGAACTTATTGTATCAATTATTAGAGTTCTTATCAAATAAAAACTTAACCCCTTCTAAGTTGTTCATGGGTAGTATCTATTTACTCTGGTTTCCATTTCATAGCTACATAAATTTTACTATATGGAAACATACTGTAGAAAAATACTTTCCCATGTACATTACCATACTTAAATTGTGGACAGCTATGTTGGCTTTCAGGGCCAAGACAAAATGTTGAATATATTACTGCCTGTAGTAACAGGATTAGATTGAAATTCTTTTAAGATGCTTCATTTCATTGTAAACATAAGCCTGGAGTTTTGCCCAAATCAAGAAAAAGAATTAGAAGATATTTGATATGTAAAATGAGGAAATGACATATCAGATGCAATGAAAGTTGTTCATATAAGGGAATTTATAGCACCAAATTATCATTAGACAAAAAGAAAGGTCTCAACCCACTAATTCAAGCTTCAACTTTAAGAAAATTTAAAAAGAGCAAATTAAACCCAAAACAAGTAGAAGAATTGAAGAATAGTAGTCAGCAAAATAAAAAACCGAAAAACTCAGTGAAACCAAAATCTGATTCTTTGAAAATAGTCAGTGAAGCTAATAAGCCCCTGGCCAGACTAAGGAGGGAAAAAAAGATATAAATCAGAAATGTCAGGGATGAAGGAAGGATTATCAGCAGACATTCAGGTTGATAAAAGAATACTGTGACTTACTGTGGCTCTAGGTTTGATAACTTAAATGAAATGAACTAATTTGTGTTTGTGAAAAACAGAAACCATAAACATTTGCTCAAGAAATAACCAGCCTGAATAGTCTTTGTATCCATTAAGGAAATTGAATGTACTAGGTTCACATAGATTCACTGGTGAATTCCACCGATCATCCTACAAAAATCTCATTGAGAAAGCATTAGAGATGGGAATATTCCCAATTTATCTTATGGGGTACCATTACCTTGATATCAAAATAAGACAAAGACATTACATGGAAAGAATTACAAAGCAGTATACCTTGTGAATGAAGATAGAAACGTTCTCAACAAAGTAA